CGGTGGCGAAGCTGTTTGGGTTCGTCAGCCCCCTCGGCATCATTGCCTGCTGCACTTGGAAGATGTGGCAGTCCCTGCGGGAGTGCCCGACGCAGCTGCAGAACACCAGCGAGAAGCAGAAGGCTCTGCGCATGGTCTTGATGTGCGCGGCCGTCTTCTTCATCTGCTTCACCCCCTACCACATCAGCTTCCCTTTCTTCATGATGGTGATAGAGAACATCATCCAGGACTGCGCCGTTCACAGGATCATGCTCCGCTTCCACCCCATCTCCCTCTGCCTGGCGAGCCTCAACTGCTGCCTGGATCCCGTCCTCTACTACTTCATGACCTCTGAGTTCCAGGACCAGCTGCTGCACCACAGCTGTGCTGCCCTGCGGGCTCGGTTCCTGCGCCGCGGGAGCAGCCTCTCTGTCACCGAAACCAGCAACGACATTCGTATGAAGAGGAGAAATCTTCCACGCTTTAAGATTTGGTCCCTTTCTAAGTTCTTTGGCCGAATAAACAGCATGGAGATCCCCCCCATGCCGCCTGACGAGCTTCTGCTGGAGTCCATCTCTTGAGACATCGGCCAGGTCTCTCCGTGGAGGTGCTTCTCATGGCTCGAGTGAAGACTGCGTTAGGGCTCCAACCAAGTTTTGAATTACCCTTGCATGCAACAGATGTCGGGATCTGACCTAGAAGGACATTTTGATAAAAAAAAAAAAAAAAAGGGTTTCTGGTTGCGCTGTTGAGGACTGTTTGCTTTACAGCGTTCTCCATCACGTTACTGCTAAAATACCTGAAGCAGCCGTCGCCCATGCCAGTATTTCTCCTGCGCTGAACTGCAGCCAGGTTCAGGTCCCTCGTTTCTGTTGTTTCCGTGTTTCTACATATTCGCCGTTTTTGAAAATCCTTCTGAATCCCGAGGCGTAAGCGGGCAGCTCAGCCTCGGCACAGCTCGGGGAGGGAGCACCAGGGGAGCCTCAGCCCCAACCGCTGCTCCTCGCGGCCCACTGTGACTTAGAGCATCCACCGTGCTTGCATGAGGCTCTAGATTGGGACAGTTAGCTCTCTCCATGTAAAAGTTATCCCCTTTCCATTGCAAAAAAAAAAAAAAAAATCATCTAGACCTAACCTAGCCTAACCTGGACTGCAGGGTTATAGCTTTACCAACACAAATGGAGCAAGGAGCATTAACCTGTACCCACAGCAACGTTAAAAGGAGCTTTCAAGCAAACTGGGGCCAGCTCACGCCATTGAAAAAGGGACCCAGACCTGAGCGAGGGAGCCTGCCGGGCTCCCGGGGACTATGGGATGCTCTACTGGTTATGGGGGGGATGCATACTCAGAAGACAGACCGTGACTGGACATGCCACCAGCGAAGAGGAGGAAGGATGAAGGACGCATCTGCTTGCAGAGACCCAGGCGAGCTGCAGAAGGCAGGACTAGCATCTGGCATTGCCATCCCTTGTGTTGTTAGTGGTACTCTTGTGCTATTTGGCGTTTTGCTTCATCTAGGACCACAGGCTTTAGATGTTACCCAAGCCCCTCAGCCTTGCTTAAAAAGCAGAAAAGGTGCCAGCCCTCGCTGGGTACCGAGAAAAGTTTACAGAACTGACTCGAGTGCATCCTTAAGGTTTCAAACTCATGAGGAAATAAAGTTATCTCAAGACATATTTCGGTACGGTGGGTATTTTTGTAAGTGCTTGTAAATAGTCTCATTGTGCACCAGGTCTGCTCACAAAGCGACGGGACTGTCTGCAAAGGGGGACCCCCAGTTTGGGGCTCAGAGAGGCCCCGTTACCACCATGGTCCCCTGCGCAGTGGCCAGCGAGTTTCCTCCTTGTGTGCTAAGGCACCGACAACTGCAACGCCCCAAACCCCTCAGGGCATCACATAAGTAAACCTAGGAGGGGGGTGGGGGGTGACAAAAAGCAGCTTTGCTGATTCTTGGATGCACGTTTCCAACCCACGCAGCGTTTCTGGGAATCACAGAGCAGGCAGTGGTTTATACCCTCGCGTTGCCAAGGCTGGTGGTCGAAAGGCGAGGGGGGGAGATCCAGACAGCCCGGAGGAATTTGCTGTGATGCTCACAGCGTGCCAGAGACGAGCAGAACACACGGAGCCAGGCAGAACACGCTCTGCCCTGCAGCTCTGTCCCAAATCTCCTCCTCCTCTCACAAAAAAAAAAAAAAAAAAATAAGAACAAAAGGACACATGTTCCTTGTTTGCTTGAGGGGAAAAGAAAAAAAAAAGAATTTTCAGGGCTGAAAAACCCTGTTTCAGGTGGCACAAACCCAGCCACGTGCACGGGCAAGGTAGGAACCCCAAGCAAAGCCTCGCCGATGCCGTGGCTGGCACGACCTGGCTGCGGGCAGCCGCCCCAGGCAGGGCAAGTTAGACCCCCCCAACACCTCCACCCGGAGCGTGGTTTTAGCCTGTGAGTGGCTTTTGGGAATGGTACGCCCCTGAGCAGCTGGGGTGGGCATCCAGGCAGCCCCGGGTAACCACAGCTCGATAGGTCTAAGCCCTGCTGCCTGACCACAGAGCCGCTATTGCAGCTCTGGCCTTGGCGGCAGCACCAGCTCCGGGTTTCTCAGTAGCACCAGTTACTGGTGGGGCTCTGCCAGTTTGTTTTGAGATTGCACAGCTTTTCTGAAATGCAGCTTCCCCCTTCCAAATAGAAAAACAGGAAAAAGAAAGTAAAAAAAAAAAGTATTCTCACTAATCTGTCACCCTCAGACACAGCAGCAGCCCTTATCTGGGCTGCCCCCGCCGCCCCTCGGGCTTGCCTGCACCGCAGGCTGCAGTGGAAATACAGCAGGAAGATCCCTTTGGGGTTATACGCACAGGATAGCAGGGATTTTATGCAGACCAAACCCTGAGGAAATATCCTTTTCCAGTGCAGACCAGTGCTTTCCACCCTTTGGAGGCCACGAGAGGCTTCCCAGCCCTCCTCTTATCACAGCCCCCCCCAAGACCCACTACCACCAACACCCTGGCTGGGCACCAGGACCCAAACAGTGGGGATTTGGGGTCAGCAGGAGCTCTGCTGCCTGGATGCTGCAGCAAGGCGGGGACAGACGGACAGGGATGCTGCTGGTCCCCGGCACAGGGATGCAGGAGCAGCGGGTTCCTCCTGCAGTAGCTCAGGTACCTCGTGGGGCAGCAGGGGCTGCGGGGTGTCTGGCTCCAGAGCGCTGCTAAGGAGATTCAGGTAAAAAGCTGCCACATGGAGGATTTGCTTTGCCGAGGCCACGGTGTGAGCCAACCACTTCCAAGGGAAAAGCTCAGGGATGAGAAGGGAGAGCAAGGGACAGGGAGCAGATGGGGGGTGGGAAAACATGGACCTGTTGGAGCGGGGCCAGAGGAGGGCTACTAAAGTGACCTGAGGGGCTACTAAAATGACCCAAGGGCTGGAGCCCCTCTGCTATGAGGCCGGGCTGGGAGAGGTGGGGGTGTTCAGCCTGGAGAAGAGAAGCAGTGAGGGTGGTGAAACCCTGGCAGGGGTTGCCCAGAGAGGGGGTGGAGGCCCCATCCCTGGGACCATTCCAGGCCAGGTTGGACGGGGCTGTGAGCAACCTGATGTGGTTCAAGGTGTCCCTGCTCCTGCAGGGGGGTTGGGCTGGGTGACCTCTGGGGGTCCTTTCCAACCCAAACCATTCTATGATTCTATGAAAAGGGAGGACAGGGTGAATTAAGAGCTTTCCAGGATTTCTTTCTCAAAGCCTGTGGGCATTAAACCTTTTATGAGGCTTTCAGCCTCATACCTTCCCAGGTGATGTATTACAGACCCTGGCCACGCTCTCGTGAGCGGGTCCAGCAGCACCAAGAGCTCGTCCCTTACCCAGGGCGCTCCCGTCCCCACGTACCAGCCCCAGCTCTTCCCACATGGCACAGGGCACGATGCTCCGGCCTCAGCCAGCCCAAGAGCTCAGCCCTGGGAGCCGCCAGTGATGGTTTTGGCTGCGGGGATTTCCTGCCCAGCAAAGTGTGCTGGCAGGAGGGCGTCCCGAAACGCCTGCCCGGGAAGGGCGAGCGGCTCAGCCAGACCTCCGCCGGCACCCGCGCACCCCGAGCTTTTCACATGCCATTAGTTATTCTGTGCTGCTTAATCCTTTACGGCTGGCTTTGACTCAAATGGCCAAGTTGCTTTTATATACGTGTGCCCATCGATACACCCCACCCCCCCGCACACATAGTACACTTATATGTATTTAAAATTATGCAGGACTCAAACATCCACGACAACGTCTCTTGTGCACAAGGCTTCCTAGGGCACCGCAAGGAAGGAGGGCAGGCTGCTTTTCTCTTTGCTAAAAATACCTTTTTCCTCCCTCCATGACCGCATGCTTCCAGCCCAGCCTCAGCAAAGCAACTTCGCTTCTGGAAAATCACTCAGCCTCGGCAGAGCTCGCACCACCTACCCGGCAGCAAGGCTCAGACTGCGATGATTTTTGGCACAGGGCTAATAGCCACCGCTGCTGGCAACGAGCTGCTTCTCCATCCGCCCACCTTGCGCCGAAGAGAGGGGAAAGCGCTCAGCCTGGCGAAGGAACAGACGCAACAGCTTCAACTCCGAGTGCAACCTAAGTGGGCAGAAAGCAAATTTTGCTGCTTTAAACCAAGCCGAGCCAGGGAGCGGTTTTCCAGACAGTCATGATTTCATCCGCCCCGAGTCCAATTTCAATGGACGGGCTCAGCCAGCAGCACCCTGCGAAGCCCGAGGCACCGGGGTTCAAAGGGGCAGTGCCACCTTAGGGACCCTGGGCTGCCCGTCAGAGCCTCGTGTGCCGCAGGGTCCTGCTTGCAGCACCGGGGAAGGGGGTTCGGGAACTCTGCGTCGATGCCAGGGCTGCATTCGGCACCGTAAGGGTTAGCGCTCCCCCAAGAAGCAGCCAAAGCCTGAACCTTGCGGCAGGCAAGTCCTTTCCAGCAGGAAGCACCAGGCCGATCGCTCAGTCCTGCTCCTCTTACCAGCGGATTTTTTTTGGTTGCTTTTTTTTTTTTTTAAACAGAAAATTTCCCTGCTGTTGGTGGGAAGGGCAGGCGCCAAGGCTGGGGAGGAAAATCCAGAACTTTTTAGCCCCTGGCCCGGTGAAAGCAGCAGGGCTGCATCCCCAGCTGCACAGGAGCTGATGCCGGGAGCTGCGGGCAAGAGCCTTGGCAAGGGTGCTCCTGCCCCATGCACGCCCTTCCCCGGGCTCCTCCCAGGTTGTCACCGAGCAAAACATCCCCAGCCATGCGGAGAGGCAGCAGCCTATTCCCAGGAGTTATTGCCATCAGAGAGCGTTGGTGCAGAGCAGAAAGTCCTTGGCTGTTTCTGCCCCAGGATCTCCTACAAGGTCATGAAGCCCAAGCTTAGATCGACTGAAAGTTTCCAATTTTTAGAAGATAAAAATCAAGTAGAAGATCTTTTTCTCTTATATTACTTATATTTTGTAAGTATTAGATCAAATTTTATCTCATACTGCAAAATAATCACTTTGTCATTCAGTGCCCAGCTCCAAGTCCTTCTGATTTTTGGTGGCCTCCGCTATGGCAGGTTTGGGGAGGGTCCGGCCAGCGCTGCCACCGCACGCCCCGTGCCCAGGGACAGCCCAACGGGGAGATGGCATTCGGCTGCTGGGACAGGCGACCTGGGGAAGGCCCCCTCGGGTTCCCACCCCTGCACCCCGAGAAGGGGCCGAGCCGGTGCTGCCGCGTGCTACAGCGGCTCCTGGAGTGACGGGAAACGGGATGGATGCTGGCAGCGACACACGCCGGCCGCGGCCCCAGCAAAACAGGATATGGTTATGCTCTGGAAGGTGTTTTTGAAACAAAAAGTCTATCTGTACAGTAAATACAGGCGCTGCCCCAAGCGCAGGCTATGCTTTCTTATAAATAGGCTGGCTTCTGCGGAAATGAAAGTGCAAAATTGAGCATCCATCACACATTTGGTGAGGAAAAGAAAAGAAAAAAAAAAAGAGGTCATCTGCAGAGGCCAGGAGCTGTTCAGCCATGGGAGGGGGGGTCGCTGCCGTTGTTCTTAGGACTGGCCTCAACCCTGCTGCCTATTAAAGTGGTGCCCAAACTTTCCCACTCAGCCCCATGGTCCCCTTTGCAGAGCCAGGGGGGTGCAGGGAGAGGCTGGGGGGACAGGAGCGGAGCCTGGGGACCGGCAGGGTTCATATCATGTGATTTTGGGGTGGGGTGGGGGAAGGAAATAAAAGGTTTTTCTCTAAATCACTACAGTGAAAACACTTTGCAAAGCGTGAGAGCACACAGCAGAGGCAGCTGCCAGGAGGCACCGCCAAGCACAGGGCGTTTTGCATCCCAAATCCCACTGCAATTATGGGAATGCCCTGGGACCAACGTGAGCCGAGCTGGCATCGTCCGCCGAGGTCTCAGCGCATCTCCCAGGAGGCTCCACAACAGCAACAAGCCCCATCTAAGCAACAAACCCCAAACCTCCGCTGCCGCCAGTCCGAAAGCATCAGCAGATTAATCCGTCCCTGCACCCAAGGGGACAACTCTGTGGCGAAGATCCCACAGCGCTGAAAGCCCCAGCTCCCACACAAGATTAATTAAGGCACATTAAGTAATCAGCAGGCTTCAAAAAAAGGCAAGAAGCTTTACAGAGGAGGATTATCAGCTGCCAAAAGAGGCAAGCGCCTGTGGGCTTCAGGAGGTGCAAGGAGGAGCTGTGCCCCCGCAGGGGTGACAAACCTGGCCTACGATGTGCTCAAGAGATTAATTCCCTATAAACCACAATAAAAATAAACGCAGAGAGCTATAAAACCCCTGCTAGGAGTGGGAATTGTTATATGAGTAAAGCAGTGATGCTTTAAAGGAGCAGGTGGCACTGAGCCCCTGGTACCTGCTGCAGACGTGCGAGGCCACAGTGGGTGCTGGGGACACAGCCTCGGACCGTGCCGACGAGCCCCCGGCCACCCCGCAGAGCTGCAAACCTCTCCGCAAGCCCTGCTGCAAAAATAAACCCTGTTCTCCTGAGGAGACACACAAGAACCACGAATAAACGAAAATAAAGTTGCAAATAATTTTAAGGAGGATTGCTACAGAAGTGGTTAAGAAATAGCCACTTTTTCCAAAATAAATCATCGAAACAAGAATCCTTGATCCTTCTCGATCTTAAGGGTTTGGTTTTTTGGGTTTTTTTTAAAACTTCTTGAGCTGGAGTCCCCAGAGACATAGCTACTCAAAATAATAAAGCTGCTGAGCGCATGCAGGCGAGCGAGCA